AAAATTTTTTTTTTTTTTTTTTTTTTTTTTTTTTTTTTTTTTAAAGTATTTAGCATAACCGGGGTTGCTGAGGACGAGCATGTGTGTGTGTGTAATGTCCCTACGGGAGGCTTGAAAACAGACCCTCAGCCTGGGTCACGAGGGGGCTGCACCACCGATAATCAATCTTCTCGCCCTTCTTCTCATCCTTCTTCTCGCCCTTCTTCTCATCCTTCTCCTCACCCTTCTTCTCATCCTTCTCCTCATCCTGCTCCTCATCCTCCTCCGCTTCCCCCCACCCCAGGTGAACACAGCCCGGTGGTCTCTGGCGCTTCATAAGGCGCTGCCGAAGAGGGGAAGGGGCTTAGCAGGTCTGGGGACCCCGGAGGCAGCGCGGGGAGCGGGAGGGGTGACAGGGAGGCGCCGCAGGGGCGGGAGTGGCCGGGGCAGCGCCAGCGGCGGGGGGAGGCGCCGGTGCCGGCGGCGCGGGGTGCGCGGCGCAGGCAGCGCAGGCCCTCGAGGGAGCCTGGGGCAGGGGATGCCAGAGCGGCCCGGGTACAGACCCCCGCCTGCGGCAGCCCCAGGGCCGGGACCGGGCACGGACACCCCCTCAGCGGGGCCGGGCCGGGCCGGGCAGGGGGCGGGCCGAGGTCCCTGAGGGAGGGGCTGCGCGGAGGAGCGGGGTGGGCGCGGGGAGCGGCCGCAGGCACCGGGAGCTGCCACAGGCACCGGGAGCTGCCGCAGGCACCGGGAGCTGCCACAGGCACCGGGAGCTGCCGGCGGGCCGGGAGCGCGGGCAGGTGGGAGCGGAGCGGAGCGGAGCGGCGCGGCGCGGCGGTGCAGCGGGGCGGGGTGGCTGGGAAGGGAAAGGAAGGGAAGGGATGGGCTGCGCACCCAGCATTCACGTCTCGCATAGCGGTGTGATATACTGCCGGGACTCGGAGGAGTCCAACTCCCCCCACCAGACCACCACGATCTCGCAGGGCACCACCACCCTGCACGGCCTCTTCGTTAAGACAGACGCGGCCGACTCCATCCCCTCCGTCCTCGCCTACCAGAGCCGGCAGCCGCCGCCCTCCGCCGGCCCCCGCCGCAAGGAGCGCAGGGAGTCCGGCGGCGCCTCCGCCCGGTCCAGGACGCCCCACTGCTGCAGCGTCGAGGCGGAGACCCAGACCAGCAGCTCCAGCGCCAAGGTAAGCGTCGCGGCTCCGGAGGGATCTCCTTCGGTGCCGGTGCGGGTCCGCGCCGGCCGCGGCAGAGGGGGGACGGTGCGCGGAGCCAGCGCCTCCCCCGCCGGAGGATGCTCGGCGGGCGGGATGCAGCTGGCAGGAGCGGTGCCCTGGTGCCCACTGACTCACCGCAGCTGCGGCCGCCGGGCCGGGCCGGGCTGGCACTGCTGCGGGGGGGCCGCCTGGGGCTCGCCGGGGGGAGCGGCAGCCGCCGGGCCCCTCGGGCTCTCTCCGCCTTTCTCCGCCCCGAGCCCACAGCCTCGGTGCCGGTCCGGGGCGCCCTGTGCTGGGACCGGCCACGCACGCCCAGCGAGCGGGGAAAGGGTTTGTTTCGAGCTCTGTGCCTAATAGCAGAGAGTACTTGGTGCTGGCTTTATTTACTTCGTCCCTTTTTCTTCCCGCCGTATGTGGTTAAAATGAACTGTTGCTTCTCGGCGTGGGTGTTCGGCTGAGAACCGAACCGCTGTGATCTGCACGCGTATGCTAATGCACCTTGCCGGTGGAGGGCTGTGGAGATACTCCTGGAGGAGCGGGCGGGGGCTGTGTCTGTAGGGTGCCTGGAAGACTTGGATCCCCCTCTCAGTGGCTAAGGCAGGCACCGCTGCAACCTGCCTGTCAACGTCTTCAGTTAAGTTTAGCACTTGAAAAGAGATCATTGCGCTGGTTTGGTTGTTTTGTTTTTGTTTTTGGTTATTTTCATGATGTTTGTTTGGTTTGTTGGGTTGGTTGGTTTTTTTGGTTTTTTGGTTTTTTTTTTTTAATATCAGAGTAGGTAACTTCCCTGAAAGCCTTTTAGAAATTAAATTTTGCTTTGTTGCCCCTTTCCAAAGTTTATTAATAAAAAAAACAAGCTAGTGTCATGATCTTAGCTGCATCTTAGGTTACTTGTCTGTTGTACTAAGAAAGCGGGTTATTATGTCACAAAGTAATCCTAGTATTTTGTTGGAATATCAGTAAGAAATTCCAAAGTTATAAAATGTTCCTTAATATTTTAAAAATTCAGAAGTCATCTTAAGGAAAATGTAAGTAGGAGAAATCACAGAAAAAAAACCCAAACACCCCCATGGCCCACTGTCAGTTTATTAGTTCAGATGCTGAGAAACTTGTAGAATTGTCTGCTGTCACATTGACTTTTTTACTCATTCAGATGAAGAGCCTGCATCATCAACAACTGGGATAAAATTCAAGCATGACTGGAGTAAAACAATTCTTGCGTTTTTTGGAATTGTAGATTTATTTTATTTTTTTACTAGTCAGAGTGCAATATTTAAGACAAAATATGATTTCTTTTTTAATGTAGAGGAGAGCAAAATCAAAACACTTTTACAATTGTTTTAAGTTGAGAATTGAAAAGAAAATTGGAAGAATTGGGAAAAAAAGGTTTTTTAGAGTCATGACTTGGTTCTCAATAGTTGTTTACTATATGTTATTACATTATGTGCTGTTATAAACAAAAATATTTCCCAACTTTCTAGTTATTTAAACTGCATGTATTTCATATGTTTTTGAACTTTGTGATTGGCATTGTGATGTTATGAGTTCAGCAAGGCCCAGGGCTGGGTCCTGCCCTAGGGTCACAACAACCCCAGGCAGTGCCACAGGCTGGGGCAGAGTGGCTGGAAAGGACCTGGGGGTGCTGCTGACAGTGGCTGAACACGAGCCAGGGAGTGCCCAGGTGGCCAAGAAGGCCAATGGCATCCTGGCCTGGACCAGCAATGGTGTGGCCAGCAGGGCCAGGGCAGGGATTGTCCCCGGTACTGGGCACTGGTGAGGCCACACCTGGAATCCTGTGTCCGGCTCTGGGCTCTTCACTACAAGACACTGAGGTGTTGGAGTGAGTCCAGGGAAGGGAAACAGAGCTGTGGAAGGGTCTGGAGCACAAGTACTGTGAAGAACAGCTGAGGGATCTGGGTGTGAGACAGAAACCTGAAGAAAATAAAGTTCAGGGGGACCTTCCTGCTCTCTACACCTGCCTGAAAGGAGCATGCCGCCAGGTGAGGGTTGGTATCTTCTTCCAGGCAACCAGAGACAGGATGAGAGGAAACAGCCTCAAACTGCTCCAGGGAATGTTCAGATGGTACATCAGGAAGAATTTCTTCGCACAAAGGATTGTCAAGCATTGGAAGTGACTGGCCAGGAAAGTGATGAAGTCACCATCCCTGGAGTTGTTCAAGAAATTACTGAATGTGGCACTCTGTGCCATGGTCTTGTTGATGCAGTGGCGATTGGTCAAAGATTGGATTTGATCTTGGACATCTTTTTAGAGAATCACAGAATTAACTAGGTTGGAAAAGACTTTTGAGATCATCAAGCCCAACCTGTGACTTAACATCATCTTGTTAACTATCCCATGGCACTAAGTGCCACATTCAATCTTTTCCAATCCAAATGATTCTGTGGTTCAGAATTGTGATTATTTTTGATAGCTTCACTTCTTTTTGCAAATTATGACTTTGTTAGGTGTCTGGGATTTTTGAAGTTATTTAACAACTGTTTCAGTTATATAGTAGAAATATTTCCATTCTTATAAGAATTAAGATCTGCAATTTTTTTTTTAATATTTTAAAAATATTTTTAAATTTTTTTTTTTTGAGTTTTTTTAGTTGAGTTAGAGCTGCCATTCTTACTGCCAGTCCTGATTTTGTACATCACTAAAGTATTGACTACAACAGGGTTGGGTTATTACAGAACTATCATAAAAGCAAAATAGTTTTGACAGATTATAAGAAGAGGAAAAGTGTGGAAACATGTTTCTGCAGTAGTACCTGATAACAACATTTATTTCCATAAAAGGTCAAAAGAATAATATTATTTATTTTGGTATGGAAAGAGTGTCTAGCAATACCACTTGGTTTTAGCTGCTGTAGTGCTTGGTTGCAAGTATTAGCTATATTGGATATTCCATCCCATATGGCATCACACCTGGGGAAGGAAGGAGGAAGGCACTTTTAGAGAATCACAGAATTAACTAGGTTGGAAAAGACTTTTGAGATCATCAAGCCCAACCTGTGACTTAACATCATCTTGTTAACTATCCCATGGCACTAAGTGCCACATTCAATCTTTTCCAATCCAAATGATTCTGTGGTTCAGAATTGTGATTATTTTTGATAGCTTCACTTCTTTTTGCAAATTATGACTTTGTTAGGTGTCTGGGATTTTTGAAGTTATTTAACAACTGTTTCAGTTATATAGTAGAAATATTTCCATTCTTATAAGAATTAAGATCTGCAATTTTTTTTTTAATATTTTAAAAATATTTTTAAATTTTTTTTTTTTGAGTTTTTTTAGTTGAGTTAGAGCTGCCATTCTTACTGCCAGTCCTGATTTTGTACATCACTAAAGTATTGACTACAACAGGGTTGGGTTATTACAGAACTATCATAAAAGCAAAATAGTTTTGACAGATTATAAGAAGAGGAAAAGTGTGGAAACATGTTTCTGCAGTAGTACCTGATAACAACATTTATTTCCATAAAAGGTCAAAAGAATAATATTATTTATTTTGGTATGGAAAGAGTGTCTAGCAATACCACTTGGTTTTAGCTGCTGTAGTGCTTGGTTGCAAGTATTAGCTATATTGGATATTCCATCCCATATGGCATCACACCTGGGGAAGGAAGGAGGAAGGCACGGGGGACATTTGGAGTGATGATGTTTGTCCTCTCAAGTAGCCACTGCACAGGATGGGCCCTGCTCTATCGGGGATGGCTTTACACCTGCCTACCTATGGGAAGTGATGACTTAATTCCTTGTTTTGCTTTGCTCATGTATGCACCTTTTACTTTACCTATTATAGTGTCAAAATTCATGAGTTATTTAACTTTTACTCTTCAGATTCTCTCCCCATGCTCGGGGTGGTGGAGTGAATGAGCAGCTGCCTGGAGCTTAGTTGCCACTGGGGTTAAACCACCACAAAACCTCATCCAAGTGTATTAGGGGACAAAACCAATATACTGGCTGTTAGCCCTATTCTGTATTAAAATAGCTGTCTGTTCTGTAACTGTTCAAACCACTTAAACCGTGTTGCTTGGTGTGTCTTCATTTTGTGTTCTAAACTGCTCTTTAGTTGTTTACACAATTAAGTATTGCTCTTTACATTTGATCCTGCCTTTATACAATTTTTTAAAACTCATCCACACTATGGTATGAAACTAACATTAAAATAAATCAACCTGTAATAATTTCAACCCTATTCAGTTCAAATAAAAAATAAAATAAAAGCCAACCAAAGAAAAAATGATCCCATGTCACTTAAAATATATGGCTTATCTAAACCTTACTTTCAAAGTTTATTTGATCTATAAGTGTGAGGCCATTTGGTGTGAGATCAGTGTTACAAAAGATAAGTTTTGTATTTTTCTTTTCTTCTTTCCTTAACGAAAAGTTCTGAACTGTTCAGAGCATTGAGATATGTTGGTCCCATCCCTCTCACACTGTTTATGAGTAACCAGTCAGCAATTTTGGTGGGTGGGTGTCTTTCTTTTGATCTTGAAATCCTGGTAAACAATTATCTACAGATTGCCCGACAAAGATCTCAAGTGGACTTGTTACAGGTTGATTTGGGAGAGGACCCACAGTTTCTAGTGCCCAGCCATACACTCTGTTCTTAAAGTACTTGGGCAGAAGCACTCAATTGAAAAAACCAGACATTCCTTCCCCTAGTACCTTCCTTAACAAAGCAAACAGTATCATGAAAAGAAAGAGTATTAATATCTCAAATGTTCCATCAGCTTTCTATAAAGATACAAGGCGTTTTGCTTCCATCACAGAAGCATTACAATGAGCTGAGAAGATGCTGACTGTATAACGGCTGCTTGACCCATTGCTCAGTTATTGCTGGTTCTGAAGTGCAGCAGTACCAGCTGTTTAGCAAGAAGTAAACAGTTCCTTGGGGATTTGAAAATGCAAAAAAAAAGCTTACCTTATGTATGTTTGCATCTTTTAATTATGGCCAAATCTTA